TTTTTTTTTTTTAGATCCGGGGTCAGGTTTGCGAATGGAAACAAACTCGTTTAAAATCTTTATTTTTAATAAGTGTGAGAAGAATTTAACTTTTGATGCCCATTGAGATTTCCTTCCCAGGAACTGCTAAAGCAGGGAGGCTACAGAAGTTTTTTTTTTTTTAAGCCAACAACAAACATAATATAACTTGTTTCTTCCCCTTTTCCTTTGAAGCTATTTGTAGAGTTTATGATTATATAGTCTGTGCAGGTTCATAGACCGAATATACTACACTTTATACCAATTTAAAAGAACCAAAAGGAAGGAGGAGAGACATGGGATCATGAAGGCCTGGGATCTTCCCGGGCCATTCATGTAGAAAACCGAAAACCAACCAAACCGAGCCCTGTCCTGCTCACGGTGCCGGGCACGACCAGGGCGGCTTAAGTGGTCTAAGAACCCTTCACGTTCTTGAAACAGACAGAGGAGACTGTTGATTTTGTGTGTTTCATACTCTGAATTATTCTATTTTTCCCCATTCTGGGTTTAAGAGATTTTTTTGAACTAGCAAGGAACTGACCATTCTACCATATGCCTTCACTGTGCAATACTTGGGTGTTTTGAGTGTGTGAGCAAGTTAGGGCGGGCAGCCAGATGCTAGGCAAAGAGTGCAAATTTGCCAGCTTGGAGATTAAAAGGAATTAAATGAAACCAATTACTTTTCTTCCCACCTTTTTCTTTTAATTTTTTTTTTGGGGGGGGCGGGATTTGATTCTGGTTACAGTGCCATAAACCTTGTTACATATGTATATCAGAATGTAAAAAAAAAAAAAAGACAAAAATTTATTTAAAAATATTTTTCGCAAAAAAAAAAACCTGGGTGTGTTTGTTGATTGTGTAAAAGTTTATTTTCATTATATAAATGAAACTCATCTTGGGATGTGTCTTGTTTCCTCCCCTTTTCCTCAACTCAAGGTCAAGCATCTCTTACCTCTGGTAAGTGGCCCATGTCACACAACTGGAAATAAATACACGTATTTATGGGGGAGAGAGATGAGGCGGCGAACACGTTCTCTGTTCTCAGGATGATGCTGAGACAGTGAGCAAGGAAGCACAACAGCTCCAGTATGGCCTCCTCTGTTGTCGCAGCTCTGCCATCTCCTTCTGCACATGTACTTCCTCTTAGACAGGGGAAGCTTCGAGTAAAGTCATGTTCAGGAGTGAGGGGCGTCTAGACCAGTGTGGGTGACTTTGCAAAACGATCTCCTTCGTGCCCTTTGCCGTGGAGTGCACATGGACCTGGTGCAGGGCTTGTGAAAGTGAGGGAGGGGCTCTGGAGGGGCCTCCAGGAGCTGCCATTCCCGCGGCAGCCCGAAGTCAAGGTGAGCCACCAGGTCAGTGAGCAGGTGCGCCAGCTGCAGTTGAGCCTGGTGCCCAGCCCAGAGTGTCATGGCTGCTGCTTCACTTGGACCCTCCACATCTCATGCAAATCTCTCGTAAGGCTGACCCTAATCCAGTGTGAGACAGGAAGGGATTCTGCAAAATGTAGTTCCTGATTTAGCTACGTCGATACTGGACCAAAGTGCCCCGGTCCATCCCTGCCAACTTGGCATCCACCTACACCTCTTTGAGCATAACTTCCAAACAGACTAGAAAATGATGCTTTTGCCTAATAAGATCCAACTATTAACTCGACGGTTGAAAACACACCAACACTCCCTCCAAGAGAAGATGCATAGCCCCGTGCGTTACCTTAGCCACTCTTGGGTGGTGGTCATTCCTCTTTTGGTTGAGGTCCACTATCCCTTTCATATCCTGTAATTGAAGTACATGAAATGTGAGGATAATTATAGACTGAAGTGTGTTTGCCCAAAAAGTATTTTTGCAATTTTGTACCCCACACCTTGTCAATGTGATCCTATTTGGAAACGGGAGTTTTGCAAATGTAATGAAGTTTTAAAGAAGTCATATTGGATTTGGATGGGCCCTTATCCAGTTACTGGTGTCCTTAAAGAGAGAGGAAAAATTGGACACACACAAAGAAGTGAAAGCCCTATGATGGAGGCAGAGGTGAGAGTGATGCGGCTACAAGCCAAGGACACTGGTGGTTGTCGGATACCCCCAGAAACTAGGAGCGTGGCATGGAACAGAGTCTCCAAAGGGAAGGCTAACACCTTGACCTTGGCCTTCCAGCCTCCAGACTGTAAGAGAACAAATTTCTGTTGTTTTAACCCACGCCGTCTGTGGGACATGACAGTACAAGAGGTATCCTTTGCTCAGACCTACTTCTTTCTCATCTAGTGTAGTAGTAATTGAAGTTCACCTTGATAGTCAATGTCATTCCAGCCAGGACATTACCCAACTCTTTGCCTGCTGGTTCTTCAGTGCGAGGAGCCCACAGTGGCCAGCAGGCAGTTTCAACTTTTAGTTTAATGGAGCCATTGCTGGGTCTCCTAGCAGGAGCATCTTTCCCTTGGGAACTAAATCTTCTAGACAGCACCCCAAAGATCTTTTTTTTCTGTCTTCAGCTAACATAAATCTGTGTTTCCTTGTTTTGGATGGGGGGGCGGGGGGGATCCTGATTGGAAGTGGTACAGTCAG